GAACAGCCTTTAACCTTGTGTTCATCCACTCAAGAACCATGTTATTTATTATCCTTTATCCCTTAATTATGGGGACTTCACCTACTGCTCTCTGCTCATTTGAAATGCAGAATAAAATACAATGGATGTCTGAAGACTTAACAGGTGTCAACCAGATATTTGCCAGCTACCGCTACTATTCTACTGGGAGGAGTTGCTGTTCCATAAATACTAATTAGAGTTTTGCACATGATCTTGCTGAAATACCTAAGGTGATGAGTGGCCAGTTGTTACTTTTAAAAGATTAGCACAATTTGAAAAACTAATGTCCCCAATGAGGCAATGCTCACACTGAATAATCAAGAGTTATAGCTGTTCTCTGCCCAAAGGGAATACTTGCTCACTTCATCATTTGGAAAATCTGCTGCCTCTTGAACAACTCACTCTTCTATTTCACTTTGAGAAACTTGTAAAACTTCATGCAATCGATATAATAGTACAGTATATGTACTTAAATGGTCTTCCACTGCTATGCCCATGTGTTGGTTTTGGCTGGGATAGAGTTAATTTTCTTCATAGTAGCTAGTATGGGGCTATGTTTCGGATTTGTGCTGGAAACAGTGTTGATATCACAGGGATGTTTTTGTTACTGCTGAGCAGCGCTGACACAGAGTCAAGGCCTTTTCTGCTTCTCACACCCCACCTGCAAGTAGGCTGGGGGTGCACAAGAAGTTGAGAAGGGACAGCTGACCCCAACTGACCAGAGGGATATCCCATACCATATGACGTCGTGATGGCGTTTGTCTTCCCAAGTAACCATTAGGTGTGATGGAGCCCTGCTTTCCTGGAGATGGCTGAACACCTGCCTGCCGATGGGAAGGAGTGAATGAATTCCTTGTTGTGCTTTGTTTGCATGTGCAGTTTTGCTTTACCTGTCAAACTGCCTTTATCTCAAACCACGAGTTTTCTCACTTTTGCTCTTCTGATTCTCTCCCCCATCCCACTGGTGCGGGAGTGAGCAAGAGGCTGTGTGGTGCTTAGTTGCCAGCTGGGGTTAAACCACAACAGTGCACATGGAAGGCTTTATGAATACCTTCCAAGGACAGAGCTTTTAGTGTGAAATCATGATTAAGAAACTGCAACAAAATTAGGTTGCACTTAAATGAAGCAGCAAAGAGAAAGAAGATTACAGTAGAAATTGCATCAGCATAGCAAAAATATAATTTCCTCAAATCCATCTCCCCTCAAATTCTTCACCTCCACAAATGAGAAAAAGAAAAAAGACCCAGTCAAAACAGAACAGGTCTCTATTATAGTAATTGAGTTTTTTGTATTTGTAGTAGTCATTACTGAGAAAAAACATCAGTTTTCTAAAATCTTGGTGTAATACTTCTGAAGAACCAGCTAATTTTAAGCAAAAATGCTAAATGATCAGATGCAACACATTCCACTGGCTTGAAATAAAATCTTCAGTTTCATCTTGTCCAATTTGCTATGAAGTGCAACTGATGTAACATGATGTGACACAATGCTGCATTTCTACGTATGAGCTGCAATTCATTGCAGTGAAATTTGACTGATGCAACTGACACAACCCCATACTATTTAGTGTCAACATAGCTCATCCACAAAAAATGCAGAAAAAATGGGTAGAGGGACTCAGAAGTTAACCTACTCAGTTCTTTTTTATTTTGCTCTATCCCTCTGGGAAAGAATATTCAGTAAATCCATTACCATGTATGGGGAAAATAGATATCATTTAAATCAGAATTTATTTTTCTGATTATTTCTTTTTAAAAAAATAATCTTTTTCTTTAGCATGAAATCTGTTTTTTCCTTATCCTTCAGCATACTGCTTCCTCTTTTTATGTAGCTCATTACTGGAAATGTTTGGCCTTACTTCAAAAGAGAAGAATATGTCAACACCGGAACATCTGTGTCCACCTAGAGTGCTTTGATGACAGTAATATACTACATTTACATCAGTAACACTGAGCTGAACCTTGATGCTGACTGCATTTAAAGATCTTACCCCACAGGGCAAGAGAATAGAGGTCAAAAACGTTGATCTGTGTTTGACACACTCTCTACTTCAAGAGCAGTTGGCAGTGATTTGTTCCAGCTTCAAGAATCAAACTCACAAAATGTTGCAAAGCTCAGAGCCATGTTCGCGTAACCACATTCAAAACAAACATTAAAATTCACAGTCTCTGGAGGCCAATCTACTTTTGATATGCATGCTTTTGCGAGCAATATGGTCAAATTCTATCCTGAATACAGTGGGAACTTTCTCATTTAAATCAAAAGGGCAAAACTTGGGCTTGAATATCTGTTATTAAGAGGAGTAATGTATCTACATCTCTCAAAAGCAAAAAGGAAAATAGACACTTTATCACCCTAAAACTCAAACCTAATTGTATAAAAAAGGGAGTGGAATACTTACGTGTGACAGAGCATTGCTTCTATCAGTGTGGCCAGAGGAAGTTGGGAGAATTTCAGTATGGATCACATATTGAAGGCACAGGCACAGTGTGGCAAAAGCAGGCATGCACAAAAATGATGTGTTCCTCAAATATTTGGTACAGAAGAGCTCAGAGATGAAGGACTGAGCTCTGCTACAGAATATTTGCAGACCTTGGTTTCTGGTAATCTTCTTCCTTTTAACTTGATTTTAAAACCTTCTGTGTTTCTTCAACTTTTTGTAATTAATATATCATTTTCTAATTTAATTACATTTTATCCACTAACCTGCTATGCTGACTTAAATCTTAATATAAGGTGGAGAGTTCCAATAGTCTCCTTCCACGATTCAGAATCCTGAGTACCCTCGTGTAAACCTCAGCACTTTTGTAGCATTGAATGATTCAGTATTGCTAACTAGACTAACATACACAAAGCATCAAACAGGATGAAATTGATGCAGCTGGATATTGCCCTCTTCATGTTGAAGGACCACAACTAACTGTATGCTGCATTAGCACGTGCAAGTACTAGTAAATCTTATTTCAGCAAACAGAGAAAGAGAAAATTTTGTTTACAGGTTTCACTAGAATGCCATGGAAACAGATACAGAGGTAATTGTAAAAGGCATAATCCAAATGGAAGACAGCTCTAATAGAAAACATGTATCCAAAAAAAAATGTATGTGTTTTCCCACTTGGAAAACACATGCATAACTCCTATTAACTTCAAGACAGAAAATTATACTGAGTAGACCCCAATATCACTGAGGTCCCTGATAACAATATGAATTGATGTGCACCTTCAAAGTACAGCAAGATGTTTTCATACACAGAGTATTAGAAAAAAAATAAAAAAACCTTAATAGGATAATGATCTTTTTAAAGAAAAAAATTACAGCTAGAATTTCTGAAACAGGATTAAAGTATGGTAGTAGCCCTGCACAAGGAAGCTGCTCAGCACCTGCTGCCTACACTTTGCCTGGCTCCAGGCAATGTTATTCATTCCTCACTTTCATGGGAGCAAAATACATCCCCTAAAAATATAAAACACAAAAATAAATAGATCTCCAGGGAAATGGAAGAGAAATCTGTTTTAAAAATAGTGAAGGAGCCTATATGTTCTAGAAAAAGCTCATTTTGCATTGTTTTGTAAGATTTACACTTTAATTTGAAACCAAAGTAAGGCATAAAATTTGTGTGAAAGCAATATCTGATTTATAGATAAACTTAACACACAATATACTTAGCTGCAAATACCAGACCGCAGTGAGAGAAGGAAAAGGTTTTGAAATATGATTAGAGCATGCTTGGTAAATGTGGCCCTGAAATGCCCCAAAAGATTTTTCTGAAGTTAAATAGTAAACACAATTAACATGACTTTTGCTACAAAAACAGTAAGCACAATGGATTTTTTTAAATTAATTTTCAATTAATGTGAAAATTTAATTTTCGTATGCCCCTATTGAGCTGGAATTGACTCCATCCACTAACTGTATTCTGAGACAGCTCTTCTGTCCATATGACCTTACCATCTAGATAAAAAAACAAATAGCCATTCTGTTGGTCTATGAAGAGAAAGCCATACAATAACAATGATCTTATGACCACCAAAAGTTAACATCTTGTGGCTGGAAATTTTGTGACAATTGAAGTATTTAAGAAAAGTACATTTATAAGGCTCAGATAATGTGCAGATTGAACAAATGTATTATTAATTAACCAATAAAAAGAAGCAGCTGTAAAGGCTTACAAGAATACATTACTATACACACCTAACCTCACTACCCATATTCAAACAAGTCTCCTAGCTAAAGGCAAATCACATAATTCTTGGGAGTCTTGCATGCATTAGGACTCATTAGATTTACATATTATTCTTCACAGTAGACATTTCATTACATTTTCTTTGAGAAAATGTACCATCTATGTGAGTATTCACGTGTTTCATATGGGCATACCTTTCTGTGTTGTATATATTGTGTAGCTTACAACAAGGTTGGTTGGCTTTCTTGTGTTTTAGATAAAACAGGCCAGAGACTACTCATTCACATGAGGTCAACTCCCATGGCAGAGCTCACATTCTTCCACTAAAATCTGATCTTCCCAAAACAGGGAGAAGAAATCAGAACAGCCTTTTGGAACCAGTCCAGGCCCAGTCCATCTCCCATATTGCTTGCAAGCTTTGTTGGGGAGACTGCTAGCTGATACAGACCAAAACTGGGCCAGGGACTGTCCTAACAGTTGGACAGTGAGGATATCACTGAAAAATAATTTGGCCCAAGCCCTGACTGGTCAGTTTGCTTGAACGGACATCACTTCAGTCATGCTACTTGAAACAAGGCCCCACAAAACACCATCACAGCAAGGCTGGAAGGGGCCTCCAGAGTTCATACTGTCCATCTGCTCCAAAAAGAACCTGTCCTCACAACACTGCTTTTGCATCAAAGTTCTCTCCTACTCTTACCAAAAGTGCACCTGAGCCATAAAGTCTTTGCCACAAGAAAGTGCCAAGTAAAACACCTTTATCTCATTAAGCAAGTCAGTAAAAGGATAACTTACCATTTTGGTCTGCTTGTGGATTTCACCATTGGAGCCATCCCATCTCTATAGAGGCTTTTTGTTTTGCTGAAGTTGACAACATTGAAAATTACTCTCTGGGGAAAAAAAAAAAAAAAAAGAAAAGAGGTCACATAAATTAAGAAAGAGTTTATATGTGCATATACGAGCTGCATAAAAATATACACAGAAAATATATGGAATAGATGTGTATCTTATGAATTATTGTTATTCTCCATAGTTCTCAGATAATGGATATCCTGACTGTTCCTGGTATTTTAATAGTCCATGTTGTTTTACACGGCAGTGATATACGTGGAATGTATGTTTTGAATTTAGTATACTGATTTTTCAGTATGTATGCTAGACATACAAAGAAATAGGTTACTCAGATCTGAAAACAGAAAATCAAGTCCAGTTTGCTGCAGTTTGAGAGGCTGGTGGAAAGCTGGGACACAGGGTAGCAGTCCTCATGAAAAGCTTCCAACTGCTTCATCTTTTAAAGCTTCTTAGTTGTTTTTTCAACCTGCTTAGGCCTCACAGAGCAGCAGAAAAAAAATAAAGATTTCTAATTTTTTTTTTCCCCAAAGAAAGGAATATTTCTCTTCAGTTCCCTTGGCAAAAGGAAGAATTTTCCTCTGCAAAAACCATACAGGATACCTGCACAGTACAAACTGTACTTAGCCATCATTCATTTGAATATGATAGAGAAGAAGAAAAGAGTCCAACTCTGATCTTAGTTTATGCTACTAACTTTGGGAAAACTGTAGCTGATATCTAACAGTTCAAAGGAAGAGTAAAATCCAGATCTTTACAGGTAATGGACTGATACTGAAAGTAAATTCGTGCTGGGGGAAGAAAAGAGAAAACAGACACAAAAGCCTTCTTCATTACCATCTGTCTGCTGTAAGTCATTTTATGCAAAATTACTTATCCTATTTCTGTTAAGAAAGTCTAGGCTGGATCTAGCTCATCTCATGTAGAACATTTACTTTTCAGATGTTAAATCCAGAATGCCTGGTTTCTCTTACTCTTTTGATACCCAACATTAATGCACACAGAAAAAAACAAAGTATGAAGACTAAACTAATTTTGATATAATGTTCCAGGATATACTAATACATTCTATTTGTACCTCTCTCTTTAAATTTATTTTCCACAGGTATTACTGAAGACAGACCACTAAAAATGATATTTGCCTCTAGGTATTCACACGCTTGTTTTTAGAATAAACTATTGTAATGTTTACACTCTTAAATAATGGTTCATGAGAAGTCTGAGAATTAAATGGCCACTGTTTGAAACAATTTTGACTAAAGCAATAAGATCAATTAAGCTTTCTTATGTAAAATTTTGCAAAAACAAATCTAGACCTTCCAGGCAGTCTGCTCAGACAGCAGTGAATTATAACATTAAAGTGAAAGCAATCAGCAGTGGGACACTAACGACAGGAGCCAAGCACATTTACATTTATATGTGGGGCAGGTAGGAATCCAGGTAAACTATATAGCCCTAATTAAGTACCTCTGTACTGATGAAAAATTAAGAAATTTTTTTTGAGGTGAGGTAGTGCTGAAGATTTTGTAAATGGAAACACAAGCTGCTATGTATGCAAACTCAGCAAATTAGTCAAACAAAATCTAAGAATAACCTGTAGGTTTTACTGGAACGGACTCAAAAAACTAGTGAGTTAAGAAAAACACTTTCTTAATGATAATAATTCCATTTTGTACCAGCGTTAATGAGCAAACTACATATCCCTGTACATGAGTTTTCATGTATTTTGTCTGTTGCAGCATTCTGAGATTTTCTAATGGTCATGAGATGAGCTTATTTTTATAACTCTTGAGGAAAGCATGCACTTAATTTACAAAATGTTATGTTTGTAATTTTAAGTACTTAAGATATTGCTTATCTGATTAAATATCCATCTTGGGATGTCTCTAGTTATTTTCCATCTTCTTACGTTTACAAAGTATGGTTCTAAGTTAGATAATGATAGTTAGGTCTCTATATATTCCATACTCTACATGGAAGCATTTTCCTGTATTAAAATGCTGAGTTTTTCCTCTGTTACTTAACTCTGTTCATATTTGTGAAAACAAATTAAGTTGCAACAAATTGGTTTGTTAATCTTGATGTTTGCATGGAGTGAATGAAACAAACAAGATCTCCAAACCAATTGCCTTAAACTTTGGATGCAATCATGCCACTGTTGGAAAGTTGCTAATTTTGTTACATACTGACTCAGAGCAGACAGCTGGTAGAGAATGTTCTTATTCCAATCAAGCTTATTTTGTATAATGAGTTGGGCAAATGTACACAACTGGGTAAGCAATGTATATAAAAACAAAAATATGCAGCTCATTTAACAAAACACTGCAGATTATAACATTTCAACCACTCCTGTTCACCGCAGAGTAAGCAGTTAGCAATGCATGCCGTTCTCTCAGCATGGTATACAGTTAGATTGGCAGAACCAAAAATTTAACAGCACAGAACAGAACTCTATCAACATACACCACTGAAGTAATAAAGTACACAAACCGAAGCACTCAAATAAGCAGCTGAACTCAGTCAAGTATTCCTGGTGATAGTTAAAGTAGTCCATGCAGCTCAGTCAGTGAAGTGTGCAAAAATGTAATGACTACAGTATATACACCTTAGCCGGAAAAATATGCAGCTTGCTCAATAAGGTATGCAAACATCTTTGAACTGAATGCTATAATAAAAAGACTGTGATACAGCAGTCAAACATTTGCTGAACAAAGCTAATTTTTAGTCTAATTTTTGTCTACACTGACATTCTTTAACACACCAGTTATAAACTGTAAAGAGCAACAGGACTAGATATACACTATGCACATTAAAACACTATTTCCTAAGAAAATTATCATTATTCTGTATGTTTTTATGAATTATAGAAATGTTCAATGGGTGGCATTTAATGAGCAATATAATTTAGATACTCAACTCTGACAAAAAAAACTGGCTTTTTTTTTTTTTTTAAAGAAATGTCAAGTTAAGAAAATAAAACTATATGAAATGTACTTACAAATTCCCTAGAAATTGCTCTGGTCTCCAGAGCATCAATCCAGAGAAAAATGGGAGAAACCTTTACAATAAAAATACTTGTATTCATTTTGGAGGGTATGAATGCCACTAAAAGAAGCAATATTCAAACTGATGCTGTACCAGAAATTAAAATTGTGTGATTTTGCTTCAGTTATGATACATTTTCAATCCAATGCATTCTGACAAACTGATCTGCATCTTCTGGATAGGTTGAAGAGACACAGTGCAGAAAAGCCCCTCCAGACACACCAAGTAAAACCATACTATCTGGGGGGGTGCATCAGGATGCATTGTGGCTTCACAGTGTGAGGGAAGACCACTGCTGCAGTCCCAGGCCCTGTGCATGGACTGCCAGGTCTGAGACAGATGCTGGAGAACATGAGACAAGGCAGGTATGTTCTGCCTACTGAGAGAAGAAGGAAGATGTCCTTTTTCCATAATGTGTGCAGTAAGTATGCATTTGTAGGTATCTTGCTGCTAAAACCATTAAGTCAGAAAAGTGAGGAAAGGCTTGGTCCTGCCTTTAGCCTTAAAATTTACTGATTGCATCTGCTTTTCCCAATAGTCCTTTGCAAACGTATTTCAGGAATTAAAAACATGGTGTTAAGGGTTGTTCAGTGTTTTTAGCATGAGCAAGATAAAGATGAACCTTGAACACAAGGGGAAAAGATGGCTGAAATATGTCACACATTTTATCTTATTACCAGAAGTTTGCAGTCTCCTGACCAGGGTTGGAAGGAGCTGCTAGTTTATGCAGGGCAAGCACACATCAGGGTGATTTTGGATTGAGGTTGAAGGAATCGAGCATGGATGGTCATATTGGACATCATATTCCACAGAGTGAACTGTGATCTCTTAAACATTTATTGTTCACCCACGTTCTGGCAGGTTTTCCATCTGAACCTACCAACTGAAGCAGATATCCAAAAGAAAAGTCACACCTTTTCCAAAGGTTAAGTGCTTTCCCCCAGGATAAGGACACACTAGGTCCCTTCAAAAAGACTGCCAGGTTTATTTTGCATGGTTTTCCCTAGCCGACTTCTCAGGAATAGCTGAGCTGCTTTGGCTGACATTAAAAGAAAAAAAAACAAACAAACCAAAGAACACCACAAAATTCCGCCTGAGGCAGACACCTGGCACAGAAAATTTTGTGTCAAATCATTACAAGTATGAGAAGTTAAAACTAACTGAAAATAGGGTTTGCAGTAGGAAGTGTCAGGCATTCTTAATATTGATGTAACATACACATTAAATATTAACAATTATATAATATGTTTAATAGTAATAGCATAATAATGTCAATTCAGTGGACAATGCTGCATGCTACAAGTACGATACAAACTTCACTATGAGCTGCCAAATACATGGGGACCAATTGTTTGAAGTCAGGCAGGAACAATGTCATCATTTAACCAGCCAAAATAAGAGAACTGGGCACTAAGTAGTAATACTAAGACCTTTCAGCTTAAAGTCTAAGCTCTTGTGCTCTGAATTGGCATTAAAGATCCAAAGGTCCTGGATACCATGGGGCTTTGTTTCGCTTTCACTGCTTGGTGTCTTGATTTCCTCTCCTGCTGATTCATTAGATATTACAGTGTTTTGTGGATTCTTGAAACCTGCAGCTTTTTGTGAGCTGGGTTCTTGCCTTTGACAGGAATCATGGTTGTCCATTCCTTCCTTCCTTCTTTTTTTAAAAATCCTTTCTCTGCCTTTTATAAATGTAAGTTTTCATCCCTTTAAAGGGCAGATCTGCTTTAGAATCACATTCCATTAAAAAAAAAACAAAACAAACAAAAAAAAAAAACAGAAAGAAAAGAAAAATGAACTCCTCAAGCCAACTCCATGACTTGTGAGATTTTGAGTCACCATTTCTGAATGTGAGAAACTAGCAATGTGGGATTGCTGCCTTCTCACAAAAAAAAAGTGCTGCATTTCTGTATTTTTGTCAGAAGGGCTTTGGGATCTTTCCTGACAAAGCACCTTATACAAAGCCATACAAAAATAAATTATACTGGAGGGACTT